AGTAAAGAAAAAATGAAAATAATTTTACCAACAAATTTTACCTACTATCTATAAAAAGAACCAAATCAAATGTGAGGTAGAAAAAGAAGAACTAAATTCATGAATTTGATAAGATAGTTTTAAAAGCAAAATTGGAAAAAGATGGTTAAAGAACTGGAATACAGGTCAACAGATGATATGTAGATTGACGAATACAGAAGGTAATTGGAAATATTTAAAAAGAAATAAAAGACATTGGAGCATGGTAAATGTCTGAGTAATATAATCAGAATCTTGAGAAAAACAAATAGAAACAAAGTAATATTTATAACAATTCTGGCCATGAAAAAAGTCCTTAAGCCTATGTTGTTAAAAGTTCTAGAAGCTTAAGCAGAAAAAATGAAGAAAAATCCCTGTTACCACATCATAATAAAATCTGTGAAATCTAATATATAGAAAATGGTAAACATGAACAAAAAGAAACATTGTTTTTAAAGATATAAACAAGAGTAACAGAAGCCTTTTCATAAGAAATGAATATACAGCAGAAGACAAATGAGTGACATATTTAAAATCTTGAAAGAAAATGACTACCATTACATGAAAATGCTCTTCAAATAATTAAAGTGAAATTAAGATGTTCCTACAAAAAGAAATGGACAGAGCATTAAAGCAAAGGGATTTTGTCAACCAAAGACCTACATTTAAAAAAGCTATAAAGAATATTTTTAGGTAGAAGAAAATGATCCCATATATATATATATCAACATAAAGAGACAGAGTAAACATCCATAAATTTAAATGAACATCGATTGCACAACACAATAATAATACTGTCATGTTACCTTAACATACATGAAGAAGTAACATACATATGAACAAGAACAAAATAGCTGGGAGGAAGTCAGAGAAAGCGAATGGTAAGGAACAGTCACATTTCTAGAACAATCTGTTCTAACAAAATAAGGAGAAAACAACAAAAGATAACAGACACATTGAACACTTGAACAGCATAATTAACAAATTAAATCAAACGGAAAAAATATAGATCACCATAACTAATATTGACACAATGCACCTCCTTTTGAAGAGTATATGGAATATTTACCAAACATGATCATATTCTGTGTAATAAAGTCTCCACAAATTTCACAGGTATGAAGTCAGATTTCTATCGCTTCTGAACACAGTACCTTCTCTAGATATCAATTACAAGATAATGAGAGCCTTCTTAAACTCTTACAAATGAAGAAAAACACAAAACAGCTTATGTGTCAAATAAGAAATAACAATAGAGGTAGTTAAAAATGTTCCAAATATAGATTAAAGGCATCTCTTTGATGTATTTTGGTAGTGGTATCTATATGACACCAAAATAATAAAATTCATTCTAACCAGTCATGGTGGGGTCATGTACACAGGAAAGTCAGTTGATGAAGTATTTCACATTTCGGTTCCTTCATTTTGTGTTGTATAAATTCAGTTTGTGTTAGATATAATAGACAAGTATTACAGATGGAAGGTGATCTCAATTTCCTAGAGCTACAAACTCTAATTCCTATTGAAAAGAAAGTCATTGCCATAGTCAAATGATCCCATGTACATGCCTTGAAAGACAAATTATTCTTCTAATGCTTAACATGAACTCAAACTGAAAACAATTAGCATGGTGGATGCTACTTTAAGGAAAAAATGTTTTCTTCACACAGCAGATGTGAGAACATAAGGCCAGCACTGGGTATCAATGCTAAACTGTCTCTGAATTACACAAAAACAACAGGCTCTAGCAAAATAACTAGTGTTTTCAAACTTGCTAGATTAGCAACCAGCCCTTTGCCAGTCTCGTTTAGAAAATGATGTCCATCTACACTAATTTGCTTTGACATACATTTGCATTAAACGGTACATTTCAGGATCAAGCAGGGTTTCTAATGTTTGGGTGGGAGACCAAATGCATGTAATAAAACTATAATGTCAGCTGTTTTCTTTTGTATTCCTTTATTCTTTATATTTTTAAGGGCACTCAGTTCATTATTTTTAAAATTCAGCATTGTAAGTGACATTGAGCTATTCTATAATGTTTGCTCTCCAACCTGATAACTTTTATATTTTTATCATACCACTAACATAAGGAAAGGTGGTTCTTTTTAAAATAACATTTATATAATATTGGAATTACACCCCTAGAATCTCAAAAGCAAAATCACCCATAACTTAAAATTGTCCAATCAGGTAAACATAAAATAGTAGCCTATTATTTTCTGAGCTCATTCCATGTCACACATTATTCCAGGTTACGGCCTGAAGTTAGAGTGCTGAAAACTCCTTATAATTAAAATTATCCTTGAAAATTCTCTAAATTTTTAAAAAATTTACATGGGTTTGTATATACAGCACTCTGTAGTAATTTTAAGCACTATAATACGTGAAAGCACTGAAATAAGCTAAAGATGAGATATATAAGCTAAAGATATAGCTATTTAAAAGTTTAAAAGCAAAATAAAACAGTTCTAATTCAGATTTTTAGAATCTCAAGACATGTAATTTCTAAGTGCTTTTTATCACTAAAAATGAACTTTCCATGACTAGAATAAATATATTGTTTTTCTTTTTATGAGTGTGATTTAAATAATATGGCAAATGCATCTTAATTTTGAGTTTTGGCTTTGATATAATCTATTTTATAAATGTTGTTGCCTATTTTCCAGTTCTTTTGTAATTCATTCTTCACGTCATGGCCAAAACTTTTTCCTACTATGTCATTTCCATTATTCCTACCCCAAATCATTTCTCTTGCTTATATTTTGCATTCCTAATTACATCTATAGTCTTTCCTTCATCTTTTGACCTCTGTAGTTTTCAGTCTTCTTTATGCTAATTACCTCTTCATGCTCTATAGGGTTACCAGCCATTCTCCTATGCCTTAAATTTTCTGACTCACCATATGTGTTTTGTCCTTTTTGTGATCTGATCTGCAATATTTTCTCTAAGTTATTGTGTGTTGCAATCTTCAGAATTTCAACTTATCTTCCTCCTTGATAATTTATCTTCAAACCATTGTTATCTTTAGGTCTTCACAGAGTATTGGGAAAAAGATTTGGAGCAAGTGAAAGAAAAACATTATCTTATTGTTTTAAATACAGAAGGGAAAGGAAAAATTATGAGAAAGAAAAAAAATGGAAACATAGTTGATGTAAATAGGGAAGGGTGGAGGGGGTGAAGGGCACACAGGTAATGGGGAAAAAAATAAGAACTAAGATATATCATGTCCAGGTGCAAACACCCAATGATAAATGTAACTGTATTGTATACCTAAAATGTACCAATAAATATATAAATTAAAAAAATACATTACTTAGGCCATAAATATTATTTCTCAATTTCTCTCTTCTTCTGCTACTCCTTCATTCCTTCATTCCCCATCTCATTTATTGGGTCCCTACTTTTTGCCATTCAATTTATTAGGCACTTCACCCACATGGTTTCCAAAGCTGTACAATATTGTTGGTCTCATTTCATACAGATACAATACAGGTATAGATATCATATATACATATTCATATAGATATCTCTCTCTCTCACACACACACACACACACACACACACACACACACATGTGTTCAAACTAAGGGGCAGAAATAAGAATCAAAAATGATCCAACCAAAATGACACTGACTACCTTTTATGGTACATCTATGTTTTTGTTTCAATAATTAACTGACAGTTTTCCCTTACTGCAAATTGTTTTCCAAGTGACTACTCAGTGAGATAGTTATTGTAGGCCAATAAATGTCCCTAAATTTGCCTCGAGTATCTTATGTGAGTTTTTCAAGTTATGATGGCTAAATTTTAATGTAAGTTTTTTGAAAAGAATTTTATGTCTCCTGAGAGTCTAGAGGGTGCTGTATGCCTAGCCCACTGCTACCAAAAGACCTTTTGCATTAGAGTAATGTGTTTCTAATCCCTCAACAGCTACGAATGCCAGGAGTAGACATCACCAAAGATGGCCACAAACCAAAACTTAAGGTCTTTCCTTTTTCTTCTATTTCTCAGTTTCCACCCCCACTAGCCACATTTCACAGAGGATTTGAAATTACAACTGGTGTCCTTTAATTGACAGCAGCATTGCCATAATCACTCTGCCCTGGCGAACATTGTCCTGTGCTCAGCTACTGCCTCCTTCCTGGGAGTTTCAAAATGCCACTAGTCATGACCACAAACAAAGGCAGTTGCTTTGCCAGCATCACTTAAGCTGTGGCTTATGCAGATATTATCATTTAATCCAAGGGTTCAGTGGATGTGGGACAGAGCAGGAATTAATTGTTGATGTAATCATCACCTTGGACTTCTATATAATATTATTTTCATCAAAATGTTTCCCAACATTGATGAAAACGTCAAGTGTTACAACTGGATGAGCATCTCAATACAATACAATCATCTGTGGTTATACAAGTTGAAACTTTAGACTAGTCTCTATTAGGACTGATATTTGCTCCAGACTCCACCTGGACTTTCTGGAAATTTCAGTGGAAATCCTTTAAAAGAAATAGGAATTTTTTCAGAATACAACAGATATCTTTATTGTTTGCATTTATCTTTCCATATTTTGAAAAAGAAAATATCTAAAATGAGAAATATAGTTCTAAATATAGTAAAAAAAACCAAGTCGGTAATACTGAAAATATAAGAATGTATCAACATATGAGTTCAAATATATTCCTGTTTAATTCATTGTGTCTATATAAATACTATCTAAAAAAGTGAATTGGAGTATAAGGTTAAATTTTTTCATTATTTATATAATAGAAGAGAGGAGCTATGGAACTACTTAAAGCAATGATCAAAAAGTCCTGAAAACGTATTGACTAATAAGTTTTTCCTTTTGCATGATGCAACCTCTGACAACTCCTTGTCTCCTTTTTCTTCCATTTTTTTTTTCACATATTAGAGAGATGCATTCACACTTTTGGTCTGGGAAATCTGATCCCTTCTAAAAAGGACAGAAGTAGAGTCTGGTTTCATAAATACAATCTCCAGTGGATCTTTGTTCAGTGGAGTTGGCAACAGGAGCTACTCCCATTGCAGTGCTACAGTTATGCTTGATATCACTCAGAGAGAGAGGGTGGGTCTCACTCTCTTGACCACAAGAAAGAAGGACCTACAGCATCGGGTCATTCTTCCACCCTCTCCTGCCATTGCATTCTGTTATTGATGAGAGGTTGGAGCAATTCTGTTTCACAAGATGAGTACCTGCAACCCTTTATTTTTTATGAAGGAAAGGCAGGGCATAAAGCTAGTTTGTGTCTAAATCATAACCTCACAAGGCCTATGTTATGCAAATTAATACCTACTTATTTAGAGGGGAAAAATGAATTGACTTACATTTCTATTTCTAAAGCTAGAAAACTTGTCCTTAATGGGACCAGTATCACCCCACAAGGCTATACCCACCTTGTGAAAGTCATCTGTGTCCTCTGGTGGTCCTGCACACTCTGAGCATCATGTCTTTCAAATCTGAACTTAGAACCAAAAACCTCTTCCTCCTCTTGCCCCTGCTGTTGGGATCAAGACACATGCCATGAGCTAGGCATGCTTCTGCCACTGAGCCACACACAGCCACGCTTTCTTGTTCCTTATCTGATCAGTCACCAGTCAGTATCTTAGTCAAGGTATCCATTTCTTTCACTGTCCTTCGTAGTCTACATATAACTGTTCTCCACATCTCCCCAGTGGTTCCCCAAGTACAGTGCACCTGCCAGCAACATCAAAAAGAGTTAAGAAATTGTAAGACAGGATGATTCTTGGCAGACCTATTTAATCAGAAATTCTGGGTTACCAGCCATCTGTGTTTTAGTAAGTCTCTGGATAATGCTGGTGCATTTTGAAGTTTGAAAATCCTGGTAGAAAGTTGATTTTGAAAGATATTCACCATCTCTTTTAAAGTGTTTGGTCAAAATATTCAAAGACATTTACAGTCCATAGCACCAATGCTTTTAGCTGTGGAATTTTTCTTATCTTGATTTTACAAGAAATGTGAGATTTAAGAATAAAGTAACTTGCCCAAAGATTAATAAGTAGCTAATGACATAGACTTTTGGTTCTCTTTTCACTAAGCAATTGTAGCCAGTTACTTGGTTGCTTCACTGGTTTGTTTGCTGGTTTGCTTGCTTGTTGTTTTCCACAGGTAGTAGTTGAATCACGGAGGGGTACATGTAAGAAGTACTGGTCCAGTCATCACATCTCAGGAGAAATAATGCATGAACATTTTACCAAAATGTTTGCAAGTAATAAATTTGAAAGAAAATGTTGATAAAGTCAAGCCAATTTGGTGAAATGTGAGTTAGTACATATACATAAGTGTTTATCCACACTAACACACAGAGAAATCTGCTGTGATCTGCTTGTCACTCTGTTCTCCAGTCCTGTGCTCTTGCCTGTGTTCATGATTTGGAAAAGGATAATGGCAGTAAATTGAACATATTTCCAGGTGATCAAAAGCGGCAAAAGTTGTCCAACATGTAAGAATTTCCATCCAAAGAGCTCAACAAAAAGCTGAGTGTGATGATGCAAACTATACTTATAGCACTTGGAAGCTGAGGCAGGAGGATCACAAATTCATGGCTTATCGGAACTGCGGAGCAAGACCCTGTCTCAAAAATGATCAAACAGAATCAATTTTTTAAAAGCTAACAAAACTTTTTAAAAAACAATCCTCAATAAATACAGTATTAAGGAACTTAATGATAATATATTCAGTCTGCAAAACATATTGGTATACATTTAGGCTGGTTAAGTCAGACTTTGGAATCAGGCAGGTCTAGATATAAGCCCTGTATTCTACTTAAATATT